GCTTGCAACTGCGTGAGCTGTTGCCCGGCCTCCTCCCCTTCCCTTTTCCTCACATTGCTATGGATCCCAATCTCGTGTAAGCCAGAGTCTGATCACCCCTCTGCCAATCGCCTCGGGGAGGAGACCGGGGGCAGTTGGGTCACAGCCACACGGCCACGCAGACACAGCCATGCATCCCCGCCAGGGGCCAACGCGAGTTAGCTAGAGTGGCAGCCGCCGTCGCTCGGTGTCCTGCTGGACGGCTGGACGCTCCTCTAGGCCGAGCAATTGGGATCTGCACCCTGGAGGTTTGCCACCGCTTGCGCGCGTCGCGCCCCTGCTTTTCACCGCTTCTGGTACGCACGGCCGCCCGTGCATTTCACTCTCGTGCGCGCCGCGTGCATTGCTGTTTGGGTTGCGTTTGTGGAGTCATGCGGGCTCAACCTCACGCCCGCCGTCCCCAGGGGGTAATCAGTCATGATCGCACTGCATTGGGTTGCTTGGCCACAGCCCGCGCCCGGCCACTTCACGCGTTGTCTTCGTTGTTTGCGATCATTTTGTTGTTTTCACGGCTATGTTTTTTTTCAACAGCTGCCAAACCACCAGCAGATCAGCGCCAGCGTTCTGGTGGGGCAGGGGTGACTGCGGCCAGAATGGCGCAAGTTCAACTAAAGGGGCGGCCCAACGCTGTACATTCTCATTCTTATTGCATGTAAATTGTTAACAATAGCACTATCCACGCGAACACGCTGCACAAAGCACACGATGAACGGCCCCCTGTGCGCCGGCAGCAGCACAATGAGGGCATGTGCCCGCATACAGGGCTCGCAGTTGCGTCATGTGGCGACTAGACTGCAGCAGGGGGCACGCCGTGGCGTCCCTGTGCAGGCAGCAGCGGGGGAGCAGACCAAGCAGCTGCAGCTGCCCCGCGAGGGCCATATGCTAATCTCGAAGACCGAGGTGCCCTCCTTTATTCAGAGGGACGACATGATGGACCAGCTGCTGCGGTGGGCGCTCATCGAGGCGAACGAGGGCGGCCTCCGGAACTTTGGCATGCCCATGAAGGTCCAGCCGACGTACAGCAACGAGACTCTGTGGGGTTTTGATATAGAGGTCATCAAGGAGGGCGAGAAGAAGGCCGACCTGGGGGTTAACTTTGACAGCGACATCGCGCTCAAGCACGAGTGGGTGGGCAGGGACCAGGACGGCTTCCCTACGATGGAGGGCAACGCCGAGCAGGTGCCTGGCAAGTACCTGGAGATCTGGTGCGCATGCAATCCAGGGGCCGGGGCCGGGACATGATGGAATAGAAGAGGGGGCGGATCTCCGGGTCGGTTGCCGTCTGTTGAGCATCGGAAAGGAGGGCGGTGCATGCGTGTGCATGCTGCTAGGGCGTACGAATGGCGATGATGCTCCTTGGTTTTTTCACAGGGATGTTGTGACTGCTGCTTCTTGGAGGTGGATTTGTCCAAAACAGCAGCCACGGCATCTTTGTGTGCAGCAGGCGCCAAAACGGGCCAAAGCCTGCAACCCACAATCTTGAATGTGCTCCGAGTGAGGCCAGTGCATGCCTGCATACCAACTCTCTTATGCAATTTTCATCAGCAAAAGTCCTGCAACATTTCTCACCTCTCACCCCAGCCCCACGTCGCACCCACCTCAATATATCCAATCGGAACCTGCCAGGAAGCTGGACCCCGTCAAGGTTGACGAGGACACGCGCTCCACCATCCGCGCCTTCTGCAACGGGCTGGTGATTGCCCTCAACCGTTACTACGCATTTGGCAGGTGCGCACCATGCGGCAGCGGCGGCGGCGGCCGTGACGGCGGCCGTGGCAGGGCGCGTGAGCTGCGCGGGAGCGTTGGCCGCAGGCGGCGCAGCAGGCGTATCAGAGCGCTTGCGGCTGCGCCCGCGACCCGCAAAGCAGCTTTATGATGCTTGTTTGTTCAATTGCAAGCGCTTGCTGCTCGCCTGAGCGGTCTCTGTGTGGCAATTGCAAATCTTTGCCAACCTCTGCCTCCCCCCTGCCCCCGCCGTACCTGTGACTACGCCCCTGCACACTCTGCAGCGTGTTTGCGTGAGTATCCGCGGCCCCACGTATCGTGGCTGCTGCTTGGCGTCGACTTTGCTGGCTTTGCCATGGTGTTGAGGCTTGTTCTGGTCCCGACTGCCCATGGTCACAAGTGCTTTTTGCCGGCCTTCCCCTGTATACCCACGCCAGGCTACCAACCCCCGCCCTCCACTCCGCCCGCAGCGAGGACTTGTGATGCGTCATTTGTTTTGCGCGGGAAGCCGCTGGCGGCGCTGGCGGCGCTGCAGCTCCCAGGCTGTGGGGCCGCGTCTCGGCCTCCTCTTGATTGTTGGTTCGTCATGCTGTTACCTCGGACGGCGGCCAGCCCCCCCTGCCACGCGCCAACCTCCATTGCATGACGCGTGTCGAGTCTGGGGCGCACGTGCCCAGCAGCCGCGAGGCCCCCTTGTGATGCCTTGTCCCTCCTGACCTGTAATAAAGGTGCCAGGTTGGCTTGAGTGCGTCATGCCGGAGGCTCATCTGGTCGCAGCAGTGGAGTTCCACGGTAACCCAGCCTGTTGTCCTCCAGTCGCTGTCAGAACCTCTTGCTTAACATCAAATGCAATCCTGACAGTCTTTCAAAGGCACAGCTTTACAGAGCAGAGGTGGGCACCATCAATGCATGCCCAGGCACGCCCTGAACGCGGATGCTGTTTGGGCACAGAACAGTGGAACCAGTCTACAGAGTGCACACGAGAACGGAGTCGAAAACAAGCAATGCGCCCTGCAACCCAGAAGAGGTCAGGGCCAGAGAAAAAATTATGCAGACCAGGAGTGGGCTTCGATCACGATTGCAGCAGAAACATATCCAACAACAAAGGTTGTTTTGCAATACCAGATCACGAAATTCAGCATGGGCAGGGCAGGGATCTTGAATTCTGGAAGGCAGGCATACAGCACCACAGCTCCAGGCCAAGAATGCTCTCCTAGACAAAGGCCTGGACAGGTTGATGGGGCGACAAGCCCGATACCCAGGATACCCCTTGACCCAGATGAACGAAAGTCCCGAAAGAGGCCGCCGCATCACGCCAGGCCGCAGCCCGCGGCGCACCAGCCGCCGCGCCGCAGCAGCGTCGCCGTCACCGGCGCAAGCAGCGGGTGGTAGGCGCACGCGCCGAAGTAGCCGTGCCGGCGGTACGTCTCAACAAACAGCGGGCTGACGGCGGCGGCGAAGCCGACGACGTATGCGCGCCTCAGCAGCGTCGGCACCCGCGCGGCGAGCTTCGGAGCCAGGCGCGTGCCGAGGCCCTCGGCGACGACCGCCAGGCCGTGCAGGCCGAAAAATGCCATGTAGCGCCCGCTGACCTCGCCCCAGGCAGCCCAGGAGAGGTACTCATGCATGAGGCCGCTCATGGTGAAGGCGACCGCCGTGCCCGCGACGGCCAGCGCCGCGCGGCGCGCGGCGGGCACGGCGGCGCCGGGCGGGAGGAGGCGGTCGATCGCGGGGCGCGCGGCGGCGTCGACGATCCTGTGACCCAGGCCGGCCTGGAAGTGGTGGCGCAGGAATTGGTGCCACCGCTCGGCCCAGAACTCGCTGATCGAGAGGGACGCGAGCGGCGTGTCGAACACCTCAGGCGGCAGCTGCCGCGCCAGGTCCGCGAGCTCCCGCCGCTTGGCGGGGGTCAGGAGCGGCGCCCCCCACCGCGCGGCCGCGATGAGGGCGAGGCGCGTGAGGGCGTACGCGATGCCCATCTGGAGCGGCAGCAGCGTGCCGGCCGCCAGCGCCCAGGCGACATACGCGGCGCGCGGGCCGAAGATCTGGGCGAGCGGGCCGAGGCGCTGCGGGGCGGACAGCAGGGTGTCAAGAGGCGCGGCGCTGCACATGCATCCGAACAGGCCGCCGCAGCAGAGCGCCGCGAAGCCGACGTCGTAAGTGATGACGAGGCGGCACAGCGTCCACGCGGCCGGCAGCAGCGCCGGGGCCGGGGTGTCGCTGCCTCCGGTATCGGCGCTGTCGGCGGCCGGGGTTGGGGGGAGGCTGCCGTCGCCGTGCTCTGCGTGCTGCACTGGGCAGCTGGTGCCTGCCGGCAACGCTTCGACGTGAACAAGCTGTCGGCCCCTGCTGCGCTGCTTGGGGCCCACCTCAGCCGCTGCCGTGGCACCTGCGCCGGCGCCTTCGTCGGAGGGGGCGGAAGGGACGGGGCACGCTGACGCGGCGCTCGCGGCTGCTGCTGCATCCGCATGAGGGGCATGCGTGGCGGGGTCGGCCGCATGGGCGGCGGTCTGGCGCCTGGCGAGCCGCCGCGCGTGCACCGCGCGGCAGCCGTCCATGCCATCCATGAAGCAGGCCCAGAAGATGCCCATGATGGACTGCGGGAGCTGCCGCCGCGGCAGCAGCAGCAGCCCCCAGAGGGACCAAGTAGTCATCGCGCAGAGGCTGGCGAGGCCGATGGCCGCAGGCTGCGTGGGGCTGGCGTAGATCAAGGGCTGGCCCAGGCACAGCGCCGCGGAAGCCGCGAGGCATGCGGCGGTGCGCAGCGCAGGGGGGCGCAGGCGCAGAAGCGCGAGCGAGAACGCGACGACGCACGCCGCGCTGTAGGCGCTTGCCGCCACCTGCGCAACCAGGTCATGCGACAGCGCCTGCATTCTTGAATCCAACATGGCTGGCGGGCGGCGTCCCGCCCTGGAAAGCGCCTGTGCGTGTGCTGTGGTGATGTGGCTGTCAGCACGAGCAGGGCGGCAAAAGGAGTGATGTGTTGTCTGTGCAGCGTTGTGACACGGTAGGCACGTTACTGAAAGACAGTTTCCACCGGGTATTCAATATGCATGAGCGCATACCTCTTCGCATTGAAATTTACGGGCCGGAACGTTTTTGACTCATCACGCACGGCAGCTGCTGCTCGGTGGTCACATGACGACTTACGTAGCTGGTGTTTCTGGTGTGAGTTTGTGCTGTCATGTACCCGTACATGTTTCTTTTGATGTTGTACGAGTTGCCGAGGATTCACAGATCTGCTGGTGCTTGCCAACCGCAAAGCGTGCACTCATTCTGGCATAACATGTCATTGTTCTAGGCCTCAGACGGCGCTCATGAGCAAGAGTAGCGGCACGGACGAGAGGGTGCTCAGCTACGGCGACGTGCTGCTGCGACGGTCCGATGTGCAGCTGCTTGATGCGCCGCACGCCTGGCTGAATGACACGGTAAGACTGCCTCCGGCCTCCTGAACTAAGGAAGCGTATCGAGCGAAAATTTCCTGCCTGTTCTGACATGGCTTGATGTATACTCGTACACACAAAGCAGCTATATGGGTGCCTTGCAGGTTGCAGCGTGGTTGCAGCAGCAGCCGAAGCCGCCGCAAACCCGCGCTCCTCTGCGCCCTCTCCCCTGCCCTACCAGGTCATCAGCTTTTGGTTCGAGCACCTCTCGCGCGGCCCGTTCGCGGCGCTCGCCCCCTCGCTCGCGCTGCTGCCGCCCGCCACCGCCTTCCTGCTCCTGCACACCGACCCTTCCACTTCCGCCGAGCTGCTGGCGCCCTTGAACCTCTCCGAAAAGGAGCTGGTGCTGGCGGTGGTCAGTGACAACACTGATGTCGACCACGCGGGCGGCGGCAGCCACTGGAGCCTGCTGGCCTTCCACAGACCCTCCAGCACGTTCCTGCATTTTGACTCATCCCCCGGCGGCGGCAACCGCGGCCCCGCCCGCCTGCTGGCCGGCGCGCTCGCGCCGCTGGTG